ACGTATATATTAAAATTTCAATTTAATTTACTATTAAATTCTTATGCCCGAAGCATAGCGAGGGTTACCCACTAGTTTAATAATAAAACAAGAAAAAAAAATAACTTAATAAATAAATATTTCATCTTAAATTCAAATAATTTTATGAATATTGTTATCAAAACTTTTTTTAATAAATTTCAATAATTTCAAAAATAGTAAAAATTCCAAAAATCTTATAAGTTTCTTAAGGTTTAATTATACTTTAATTGAGTAATAATATTGTATATTTTACAATATAATTTTTTTACTTTTTTATACTATATATATTTTCAAATATATTTCTAGTTTTTTTAAAAAATCTTGTTTATTTCAATTAGGTTTTAAATTTATTGTTATATTAGATTTTTTAAAAAACAATAAAGTCAATTAATTATATTATATCTAAAAAAAGTAAATAAAATGTTTTTTTTATATATTTTTATTTATAAAACATTAGTATTAACAATGTAATTAGTTTTTGAAAAATATTAAATAATGTTTTAAAATATAATTTATAACATAAATATTAATATTTTTTAAATCTTTGTTATATAATATATTACTATTATTTTATTAATATTATTTTAAATATGTTATTATACGCATTAATTCATAAATTTGATATTTTTATTTAAATATAATCTTAAAAAAATTATTTATAATAATAATATTATTATTAATGATATTATTATAATTTATATACAGTATATTGCTTAGTAGCATTTCTAATATTTGTTAATATGTTAATTTTATATACGATATTATCATGAGCAAGTTAATAAATTTTTGTTTTAATTAATTCATTCCAAATTTAAAGAATATGTGAAAATCAATCAAACAAATATTAATATACTGTATATGTTTTTTTGTTTTTTATTAATGGATATTTTTATGGGAACAAATAAATTAGATATTGTAATTACTAATCAATTGAAAATTTTTTTATAATGACTTGACTATACTGTGTACACAGTATATTGTATATGTTATTGAATCCATATGTTTCTTTTAATCTTTATTCTTAGTAATCGAGTTTTGATGTTGATTCGATTCGATTGAAAAAAATACCGAATTTTGTAAACTGATTGCAATTGAAGATTCGTGAAAATAGATAATCCCTTATCAACCAACGTTTCATTTGTAATCTTTATTTTTTTTTCTTTTAATTTATTGATTAATTTATTATTATCATTTCTTTTTTAAAAAAAATTTGTTACAAACGTTATGACAGGATTTTTATGTCTTTGCTAAAAATAGAATTGGTATCGTGGTAATACCAAACCAAATTGATACCCCGTGAATCATTACGTTTCGCATCACAAAGAAAAGAAGACTAAACCGAACAGCACAGAATTTTTGATCAATAAGTTGTTGCATTCAGTGTAACAATCATTCAAAAACCGAGATCGAATTCAAGATATCTGATTTAATACATGTCCTACTGATATTTAAATTACAATAACAAAAGGCAAAAGATGTGCATCATTATTTACGGTATGAGATTCTAGGTAACATTACGCGAAAGCACTTCATGGTATTGAAAATCACATTTTCAGCTTCCACTGAGATCATGCGATATTTTCAAATTTACACGACGAAACAACAAATCTTATTATCCTAACATATTTCCGATGCCAGACTATAGTATTGTAATTGCATCACAAGAGAAAACCTTTTGATCTATGACGGTGTTGCATGTATAATTTTATGGAGCGGACTTCTCGAAATCGATTTAGTTTGTTTTACAGTATTTTTTTTTCTAGCGGGTTATCCAATAGGAGTTTCCAAACGGAGTTAACGGTATTTTGAACAACAATGACTCACCCAAGTCATTTAAAACGGGACACGAGTGCAAATAAATAGTCATTCGCTCGGATTTCAGATCCTCGTCAATTATCATTGTAAAAATATATTGTAATAATAACATCATTGGGAAAAAAAGAGATCAATGAGAAATTTATTCTACATGAAACATGTTACCGATCGCTCGAGATAATAAGTTTTCCTCTTTTTCTCCATTTGATTGATCGATTCTCGACGACTTTTTTTTCCCACAATAGAGAACTTCTGAAACCCCAAATCTTATTTGAGTACATCGTTCGGAATAATAATTTTGCGATTTTCATGAGATTCACGCGTACGTGGGTATTCCGCGTGCTTTCTAAACATCTCAATGATTTCTTATCTTTCTTTAATAGTCAACAAATAAAAAAATAAATCGTCATGATTTGCGGACGAGAAACTGCGGGGGAAAACTTTTAACCATAAATGAACATCTGTTTAAATTCGAATCCCTGCACCAAGTTTGGCATATCAATGATACACCTATGCAAGATTTTATTTAAATTAATGCATACTGATAAAAGCACAATACCCAAATTTTATGGATACATGCAATAGAACGTAATGTGTCTTTTTATAAATAGGTGATATTATCAAAACAAGAAATGAGCTGCTGTTGACTGCATAATATTCTTTTCTCACTTTCCGTGCATAATTTGTTTGCATATTGCAGTAAAGGTAGAAGTGCTTAACTTTAACCTACATTGTTCCGAAATCTCCTTTTAAAAATATCTAGCAGAACCATGTGGTAGTAGTAGTTTTCCAACATTCTTTGTTCTTGCTAGAGTGTGAATCCTGGATTTAACTGGATTCCAATCAAGTTCGCTTATACGTTCATCAGATTTCTATGCAGGTTTGTGAACAGGTTCGTGTGTTATTATTGGGAATACACGGCTCTTCCGTGGGAGGTCATGGAAATCTTCAAATTGCCACGTGAAGCTCGAAAGTAAATGCACGTGTATCTAGGTCTAAGCGTCAAGAGAGTGTAAGAATCTATGGTAAGGTAGTTGAAAACAGTCGGACTTTGTTTAAGCGGATTTTCCTCTTATAGGTCAGGAACGCAGAGCTTTTTTATTTATTATAAAGAAGATAGAGACATGATCGATGCGACTTGCCGAACGTCGGATCCACTTCATCTGGTTTGGCCTCTAAGCCAGATTTTGATCTCGAGTGCCAACTTTCGGATTTGTGGGCCACATAGGAACAAGTTTTTTAAGCGTGTAACCGTGGACCGGCTATAATTTTACGAGGTAATTATTTAATTAAAATCTTTACCACTAACGATATTAAATTAACCAAATGATCACAAACTTCAACAATTGTTTTCATATATACTATTAGATACCACTTCGGTCGAACCTAATTTAGGCAAATCGATCTTTCTGTGGATGGTGGCACGAAAATATGGCCAACGCGTGACTAAACAATCAGCAAAAATAATTTGCCGACAAAGAAAACTTGTATTTGGTACAGGAAGCATCGTCATTTGTTCATTTATTCATATTAATTAATTATTTATCGTGGTGGAGGCGCTCTTGATCAAAAAAGCAAACAAACACTCATACGAGACATGACACGACAAACACTGAAACTAACGAAAATCCACGCAAAGTTTCGCTTGGGTTCAACAATCTACTACCAAAGTTTGCGCCACGTAACATCCACTCTATAATTTATTAATTAATGCATCAACACTTATACGTTTAGTAGAGTAGCATATCTAAGCAGCCATGAAATGCAAAAAAAGCGAAACAAGAGTAAACAAAGTCAATGTGAAGGTCCCTTGTTGGTCCAATAAATTTGTATGTCTAGCCGTTCATATGAAGTTTTCTTAAAACGTCGCCATTTTTTTTTTATGGTAACGTTCCACAGCAAATCTTAGTGCATTCCATCGGATAAGGGGAAATTTTTACTTGCCGTGTCATGTGATGACATAAATAATGGACAATTTTGTATAGGTTCATATTTATTTATTCTCTTGTTTTCTCAATCTTCCTGCTGAAACAATATTTCTGACGTTGCTCACTTGGTCACGATATACAACTGATACAACTGACCAATATAACACGAGGGAAAATCCTCTGGTCAAAATTATATAAATAACATCCACACACCTGTTACAAAAAAGAAAAAAAAAAAAAAAAAAATTTTTTTTTTACCTCTATCGTCACCATTTCAACATTCAAATAACAGTTGTTATCACGAGATTTTTGCCGGAAACTAATTAAGATTATTAATTATGACGACAGCCATATCTATAAATACTGACGAGTTGTTGAAGAGGAAAATTGGTGCACTCACAAACGACGAACTTTTACAAGGAGGTCCAAATCACAAGATACTTAGGCGCACTCCAAGTGAGCAACTGTCTGATATTTCTTTATCCGAGGAACATACATTCCCTTTTGAAGAAGATTCCGAAGACGACGAGGAAGACATGAATGATACCGGTGACACGAGTGCTGACAGAAACGGTGAGAACGACGACAACGATTCAAAGCCTAATCAACCAACCAAAGACAACCTTCCGCAACAATCGGCACCAACACAGAGAAAAAAACCAGGTCGAAAACCTAATCCTGCTTCTCCCGCTCTACGTAAAGAACAAAACAGAGCCGCTCAAAGAGCATTTAGAGAAAGAAAGGAACGTCACCTAAAAGACCTTGAGAATACAATTCAATCTTTAAGGGTCATTCAAACTGAGACGGCCAACAAATTTCAGCGCGAGCGTGAACACCTACGTTCATTGATCGAGCGAGTTGAGGTCGAAAACTATTATCTGAAATATATTGCACTTAATTTTGAGTGTGCCTTGAATTCCATATATGGTAACTGCGAGGCCACGACAAAAATCAAGAATTCTGTACTATCAAGTATTCCTCGTTTTTCTCTTTCCAACTCTCTGTTAGCTGCTGGTGATATTGGAAATTTCGATTCATTTGACATGGTTCCTTCCACGATCACCGCTGAAACCCCCATTGGATTGAACGAATCACAAACTGTTGTAAATCAACAACAATTGCAACTACAAGTTCCTACCTTGAATGTGAGTGGTGTTGGTGATTCCGCCGCATCTTTCATCCTACCTTCACCGGCTAATAGTTCAGTCGTGCTGTCGCCAAAGTCCGCGAACGTGTCATCTCCCACGAGTGCCATCAGTTCGCCGCCCACTCCTGACTTGGTTCAATCTGATTCGATATCAGTTAATGGACCTTATTTGACGACCAATATGAAATCATTTACCGGCATCAGCACAAACTCCAATACTCCAAGCGCAAACGCGATCTATCAAAAATTGAGCGATCAATTATTGAAGTCGCTTATGCAAAATGAGATTTCCTCACAGTTGGAAAATTCCTCAGCCATCGTTTCCACCAATGATAATAGTAACGATGCATTTATTTCCGTATCTCCGCTCATTCAGGATCCCAGTAATCTTCTCGATTCAAGCTCGAATACCTTTAACACCGCATTCATTCTGTCTGGAGATGCTGAATCTTTGAAGGGTTCCTACCCCAACCTTGACATCATACAGGCCACCAGAGAAGTGAGTCAGCTGATAAGATTGGCTAAACTCGTTGGATGCACGGACCTGTCTGTTCCGGTAAAACCAAAGCTTAAGCGTCCGATGACTCAACAACAAGCGAACTTCTTGAATTATCCGCATGATCAACGTATAGACTTGATTCCCTGTTATCACCTACGTTCTCGTATGATTCAATATCAAGGTCAATACGACCTATACGAATTGTGTGAATTGTTGATCGAGAAAGCAAAATGTCATGGCGATCCTATGGATCCCGATTCGTGGGAATGTCCAAAGGAATTCTTCGATAAGTATCCATACCTGGTATTTCAGCATTGTCGTCTGAAGTCCGACTTTTATCAACAATTTGGAAAATTGCCGCCAAACTTTGAAAACATATATCAAGAAATCTGTAGGGAGAAAGTATGTATATTCACCATAAACACCTATTATCATCATCCACAAATACGTACTAATCCATTTTCATATCCTCCAGGCTTGTATTTAGGTAGTCGATATTAAAGTCCAAAGTAAAAAAAAAGATGAAAATAAAATAAAATGAAAAAATAAATATCCCCAATCCTCTCTCTCAAACATTTTCTCTTTCACTGTATTCATTGCTTTTTTCGACATATTCAAATTGAATATTTATTATTCTCTTTCTGTTTATATATATATATTTTCGTTTGAACGCAGGAATCTTTCATTAGCATGTTATAGAATACATTATTATTATTCATGTCATATATATATATATATATAGTTTTTCCCTTCAACACATCCGGAGAAAATCATTAACGATTTCATAAATACTACGAATGAAGATGATAGAGATTTTAGGGAGGTGTAGTAGAATTAACCTAAACCACGAAGATGGAGAACTCGTCGGTCGTTCGTCGTTATGTTGATTAATGATTTCCACTTTGTATCATAGTTTGTAAACCATTGGCTTAAAATTGAATTCTTTACCTGATACACGCCGAGATATCCACGAACAATTTATAGCGAATGCGGCTTCTATTTACATTTTAATTCGTTTTCACGAATTTCCGGAGCTTGTAAATACTTTTCATAGATAACAGATGCGTTTGGAAAGGGTTGAGTTGTTGGTCATTTTAATATGATTAGTTGATATTTGGTTAATTTTAAATACGATAATTGTTATCTGATATGGACATTTTGTATGCGTATTCAAATAAATTAATCATAATCAATTAACGAAATTAAAAAATAACGTTATCTATAAGTCTTGATTTAAAATCGCAATATACTTTACATATACTGCATGTGTACAAATAGATAACGATGAGGCGATTGATCGGTTTAATTTTCACTTTAATATAAAATAATGACATGACATTGTCGTTTTGGATCATGTGGTCCATCATTTTTTTTTAAGATTCTTGCAATTACACCATTTTGTTTTGGACATGCAAAAATTAAACTTGTAGATATATAATCTTAATTAGATTAATTACCGTATTTATTTCCACATACTTTTTTTCAATTTTTACCACGCCTTCAATGCATAAACATGTAATGAATGAATGAATGAATGAAACTTGCATCCGGAATCATAACCATCATATTTTATATTCGATTTTTTGTTTTTTTATATAAATTTTTATAATCATCGGTTTTTTTTTTTTATAGATGATAAAATAATTATTTTCCAATTACAATTTTTTTTTTTTAAGCCTCAACCATATTGGAATTATTTCGTATTGATCACGACAATAAAGATCATATATTAAACATAGCTTGTCTATTAACAACTTTCGATTTTTAAATGTGAAATGGTGTATCGTTCATTCATCTGCTTAATCGAATTCGTGCTTACAAATCATTTCTATCTTGATATAATATATTTTTGTTTATGCAATTTCTTTCTTTTTTTTTTTTTTAGAGTTATAGTTTCTTTTGAATGTAGGAATTATATTTATTATTTATTAATAGATAAAAATATTATCAATTATATTGAGAATTTAGCATTATAGATAATAATAGTTCTATCCTATTTGACATCAAAAAGATTCTGTAATACATAATAACAAAAAATACTTAGGAACTATAACTAAAAAAAATAAATAAATGTGAGAAAATATCTTAGCAAGGATAGTATAAAATAGTTAATTTTACTTTTTAAAAAGAAGATTTATTTAATATATAAAATCCAATAAAAAAAGTAATTAAACTAATAAGTATAATTTAGTAGTATTTTTTTTTCTCTATTTATAATCTATTTATTATATTAAATAAGATTGTTATTATTGTTTTTGAAATTATCAAAAACTTGAACAGGACACAAGTTATCACTCTTTCAATTTGATAAGTTGTATTATTTTAATATAATAAGATAAGATAAGATGTAATTGATAATTTATATATTATAGATTTCGGTTTTTTGTAAATATGAAAGTAAACAAGAACTAATAATTAGTCAGAAAGTTGTAATTAATAATATAATATTAGTTATCATTGACAGTAAACAAAAAATATAAAAAAATAAAATATTACCTTTTGATATATAAATAAATATTTGAAAAAAAGAGTATATAATATGTTTTAAATAAAATAATAGTATATAAAAATAAGTAAAAAGATTTTTTTTTTTACTTTAAAAGTTACTTATATACAGTAGAATTACTTTATCAAAAAAATATAATTATATATTGACTATATTAAATTCAAGAAAAAACTTAAGAATAAACAATATCCTTTTAGAACTTTTATTCTTTTTAATTGAAATCCTATCTCAAATAAAAATTAAATTACTATACAATTTACTTATATAAAATAAATTATAATTTATTTCAATACTATACATATTTGGATTCTATATAAATTTCAAAACCTTTCAAATAGTTATTTCAAAATCAATATATCAATTTTTGAAAACTTTAATAATCTTTTGTCAAAATATAAAGAAATCTTTTTTATTAAAAAATATAACAAACCAAATAAACTTTTCAATTACAAAAATTATTTTTGTAAAGAATATTAAATTTTTTTTAAACTTTTTAAATTTCTTTTTGAATTATTGTTATTAAAAAAATCATTTTTTTCAATATATCATCTACTTAAATTCAAATATATAAACTTCTTTTTTTTTAACTTCTAAAATAATACAATTATTATTCAAGAACTGACTACATCCTTTTATAAAACTTATTATTTTAAACTTTTTATATTTTTAAATAAAATCTTAAATCCAGAAATAAATATTTTTATTTTGTAACAAATCTTATTAATATTTTATTTTTATTTAATACTTTTTTAAAAAAGTATATCTTTCAAATACTTTTATTAAAATAATAAAATAATATTTTAAAATAAAAAAATATAAATAATCAAATAACTTTAATCAAATAATTCCTTCTACAAAATTCAATATTGTTAACAAAAAAATTAATATTAACTAATATATCAATTTTATTTAAAAGATTTGAAAATTAGAAAACATTTTGTCTTTTAAAAGCTTACTAATGATTATATTATTCAAGTCAATCTTTTTAAACTATTATAAAATTCTTTAATTTTTTTAAACAATAATAAGTATAACCAATTTTTTTAGAAATTTTCTAATTGAAAAAAATCAATTTTTATCAATACAAAATATTAAATACTTAAATAAACTCTTTTAATATAAGAAAACTTAATAATCAAACAAAATTTAATTGTTTTTTACAATATATAAAAAATAATATTTATTATTTTTAAAAAACAAAATTTTAAATCTTCAAAAAAATTCCTTATATAATTAATATTATTATTTCAATATATTTTCAATTCAAACCTAAAATAAAAATATATATTATACAAATCTATTTACTATATTATATAAATCTAAAAAAAAAACTATTTTATATCTTTAAACATTTATTAATAATAATATTTTAAAAAACATCTTATATAAGATGATTTATAATTTTTTGAAATTTTTTTGATTTTATATTTTATCTTGTAATTAAATAAAAAAATCATTAAAATTTTATAAAATTTTATTTAAATATATTTTAAAACCTAAGAATAAAATGGTATAAATTTTATTAAAAAATATTTATTTTTTAAGATTTTAGATAATACATAAAAATTTAGAAAAAAGTTTTTGAACTGTTATATATAATTATATTTTTAAAAAATTTTATTAAGATACTTTATAAGAAAAGCTTAAACAAAAAATTTTTAAGACCTAAAGAAAATAAATTTTAAATTTTGTATAAAACAAATAAGTTTTTACAATATAATAAAAAAAAATATGAATTTTTTTACATTTTAAAAATATTTTTTTTATTAAATTTTTATATTAAAAAAATTAATAAATTTTATATTCAAAAAATATTTTGAAAAAATTTTATTAAGATATTTTATAAGATAAGCTTAAACAAACTTGTTTTTTTAGATTATAAACATGTATTTTATAAAATTTTATCTAAATCAAATAAATTTTCATTGTATAATAAACTAAAACAATTTTTAAAATATTATGTTTTTTTATAAAAATTTAAAAAATTGTACTATGTTTTTACAATAACTTATATATAAAACTTTGGTGAATTTGTCTTGTCAATATTTGTTAACTTACATTAAATATAAATTTTAGATATAAAAACAATAAAAAATTTTAAAAATGTTTTTAATAATCTTAAACTATAAGTTTTTAAAAATATTTTTATAAATTTTTATATTTAAATAATTATTGATAGAGTTATATTAAAAACTAATTTCAAAAAATTATGAATTATCTTGTATATTTTATAGATAATATTAACTTTATATCTAATTCAATTAATAAAACTCAAAAGTTAAAATTAAAATATAAAACAATTATATATAAAAAATCAAACAAAAATTATATTTATATATTATATTTTTTTTTTTTTTACAAAACTATATACAGTCAAATCTTTTTATACCGATATGCCTGGATCAGATCATTTGTATCGTTATAACCAGTTTATCGGTATAAAAATTGACTTTTTATTATATATTATAATAAATGGGTAAACAAAATTATATCGTTATAACCAGAAATCGTTATAAAAAATATCGTTATAAAAAGGTTTGACTGTATGTATATTTTCTTAAGACCTATAGGTACTATATTAATCACATTTAAATATCAAATACTATTGTTATTAATTTACTAAAATACAAATAAATATCAAATCAAAATTCTACAGTAATTATAAAATTATTACATTTATACTTTCTAATTTTTTAATAAAAAAGCTTTTTAAAAAAACATATATTATCTATTTTAATTTTAATAAAATTTTAACAAAAAATTGAAAAACAATAATTACAATTATTAATAACAATTTAAAACTATTTTTTAAAAAATTAAATATTCAAAAAAAACTCTTTCCCGTCCATCCCAAATTTCCTAATCAGGAAGTAACTAAAACAAAAACTTTCTATCTTCTCAAAA